GTCCGAGGCCGGCGAAAGACTCTTGCCGCTCACCTCTCTTTCCCCGCCGTGCCCTACCACCCTTTTTTCTGGCGCTCGCAGGTTACGGTCAAGGGATTCAACGGCCGCGAACTGACCGAGCAGACTTCAGGAGGGGTCTGGTCGCTGATAAAGAAGATTTTCTACTCCCCCGCGTCCTTGTCCCATTGGAGTGTAGTGTCCTTTTGCGGCAGACACCGTTTGGACGACCAGACTGTGGGTTACTACATTGATGGTTTGCGGGACGCGTTGGGAAAGACTGGCGTCAGGGCCCCACCGCCTGAAAAGGTGATCTTCGCGGAGGACAAGCAAGACACGGTATCCAATTGCTTGCGGAAGGTGCTTCGTTACGGTCCGGGGGAGAAGCAGGGCGATCCCTCGAAGGTTGTTACGCAGCTGGTCGTGTGCCTGATCGAAAAAGAGGTGCCGATTTACACGGAAGTGAAGCGGGCGGCAGAGACCGTGCACGGGGTGATGACCCAGTGCGTGACGCGGGACAATGTGCGCAAGTGCAACTTTATGACGAATGTGAACATTTCTTTGAAGGTGAGGGAAACTTGAGGGGGCTCCGTTCGAATCTCGAAATTACAATGCTGATTTACCCCCCCCCGGTCTCTTCCGGCGACAGGTGAACGAGAAACTGGGCGGAATCAACAGCATAGTCGCCAAGGAGCACATGAGCTACATTCAGAAAAATCGGGTGATGATTCTAGGTGCGGATGTGAACCATGCGCGAGTGGGGTCAATGCGACCCTCCTTTGCGGCGGTGACAGGGTCCTTGGATGCAGACGCACGAAGGCATACCGCGGTGCTGCAGGCCCAGTCGCCCCGCCTGGAAATCATCCAGGTGAGGAAGAAGGAGCAAGTTCAAGGGGGAAGTCTCGCTGTACGCGGGGTCAATTAGGGCCTGGCAATATGCCCTCAGAGACATCGTACTCCCGTATTCGTTTCTCTCTCTGTCTCCCGCAGGATTTGTCCAACATGGTGCAAAAACTGCTTCTCAAGTTTCACAAAACGACCGGGTCGCTCCCGCACAAGCTCATCTTCTATCGCGACGGGGTGTCGGAAGGGCAGTTCAAGGAAGTGCTTCAATACGAGGTGCGTTGCTGCTTGTTTGCTCTATACACTGTCATAAGAGACTCTGTGTTGGATTTCTCGTCACGGATGCTAGGAAGATTTTATTGGCTAATTTTCTATTCTGCCTTTTTTCTGGGCTGTCGTGCTCTTTGGTCATCAGGTCCCCGCAGTCAAGAGCGCGTGCTCGAGAATCAACTCGAAATATGAGCCGAGCTTGACCTTCATTGTGGTCCAAAAACGGCATAACACTCGCTTTTATGGAGTGGAGCGTGCGGAGCAGGATGGAAAATCTGGGAATCTGAAATCCGGTGCGCTTCTGGGGGTGAAAGTGGGACTTTACGAGCCTTCGGAATCGGGCTTCTTCCACGTTTTTTTCTCCTGCCTTGTGTTTCTGGCACCCTTTATTTTTCACTTCCCCCCCTCCTCGCTTCCCCCTCGCCCCTTTTCTTCAGGACTGGTTGTAGATGCGGGCGTGTGCCACCCATTCGAGTACGATTTTTTCCTGCTCTCCCACGCGGGGCTTAAGGGAACCAGCAAGCCCTCATACTATAGGGTAAGGTGAAGAGAGGGGGGATGGCAAGAATGAAAAAATGGATGCCTGACCGATAAGATACTTTTGCCTTCGCCTTTCCCGTCTTAGGTCCTCCGTGACGAATCCAAGATGGGCCCTGACGAGTTGCAGCAGCTCACCTACTTTCTATGCCATAACTACGCGCGCTGCACCCGCTCCGTGTCCATGGTGCCGGCGGTGTACTACTCCCATTTGGCGGCCAAACGTGCCCAGATCTTCTTGACGGACGATGCATTGGCGAGCGAGAGTGGCACGGAGATGTCGACTGACGGGAATGACGAGACTGACATATATGCGGGGATAAACTGGGATGGGACGATGATCAAGATGAAATCGCCGGTGGTTGATAATATGTGGTTTCTCTGAGAGGTGGGAGGTGTTCTGAGAGGGGGTGTAAAGAGAAGTACATCGCATCATGGCAGAAGGCGAATCAATAGTTGGTGACCCAAAAAAGAAGACAAGCTGTACAGAGAACAGGAGAGGAAGAGGAGACGATCTACAAGCAAGAGGGGATTAAAGGCACCCAAAGCCCGGGGAGATTCCAGCATCAAGGGCCGAGGCAGTGAAGGACTACAGGTTGTCGGAGTTGCTAGCAATGCCTAGAAATTAGGAAATATATTTAGCGAATGTTAACGATGAGGGCTCGACTAGTATCCAAAATGGCTGGCATGGTTATTAGGGATTTTAAATGGGGAGGAATAATGCATTTTTGGAAGGGAAGGAAGGATGATATAGCGGTACATAAATTTTTTCACATGCACAAAAGGGTACGCATGAAAGTTTGAAGAGACTTGGGTCGAGTATCTAGGTCGGATGGTATTCATATGAGCACTTCTTTTCTAAAAATTCAATATTCATGAATTCTCGGGCGGGTCCCGTTCAGATGCGAACATTGACCGATTACTTAAAGGACACTTTTCCTGAGCATACATGATTCCTTCCCAGCACATTCATCTCACATCCCACTATTCAAAAAGTCCTCACAAAAAATAATTCTGATCAACCTCGCTACCCTTCACGCGTTCGTCTTTTCGGTGTCTTGAGAGCTTTTCTGACATACAAGGCCTCAAATCTTATTTCCACCGTCCTCAGTGATGCCGTCCTTTGCAGCCAAGGCCATTCCTTCTCATGTGACAGGTTGTCCTTATCGTAAGGAGGGCGACTGATCCTTGTGTTTTTTACTAACAGAGCCTTTCTACGATGAAATTTCTGCGGTTTGATGGAAGGGCGCGGACCTATCCTCTGGGTCATTGACATCTTCTAGTGTGCTCAGGTTAGACGTGTCGCCGCAAACCTCTTCTTCCGATGATCCTTACACTAGATTTGACTCTTGTCGAGAGTCTCCTTGTTGCTGTGTATCATCTTTGGGTCGTTGCTGTGGACCCGCGTCAGAGACATCGCCTCGAGCTTCCTCCTCCGCCGGTGCTTGGCCCTGTAGGCGCTGCTGCTGCTCTGGTTCTTCTTTTTGTTGCTCTGATTCTCCTTGTTCTTGTTCTTGCACTTCATTTCCTGCCCGTTGATCTGTGCTAGACCCTGAGACGTTATCCTGAGTCTGCTCTTCCGACGGGCGTGACACTTGTTGATTTTCTTGTTCGTGAGGCTCTTGACCGGCTCCGTGATGTGGCCCTTCTCTTGGCTCTTGACGGCCCTCTTCGTCGGGTTGTTGACTTTCCCCATGTTGGCCCTCCCCAGGCGGACCGCGAGGACGGACACGTAGACGGTTCTGCCGGGCGCCGTCGGACGACTCCTCTAGCGTCACGTTGTCCCCTACTCGGGGCAACGCTTCCCGCGCCTTCGTGTCGTTGAACACGTTCGGTGCGGTTTTATCATAAAGGGCGTTGGGCGTGCTAACGTAGCTGAGGTTCACTTTAGGATACCCAGAAGGAGAAGGCATGATAAAACCGAAATGTTGTGATTCCTTGGGATGCAGAAACCCGCCCCGCAAAGGGAGATAGGTGTTGTTGGTGGCCGGGTCATATACCAAGTGCCAAGTGCCCGTCGACGAGGTAATATTCTCGATATACACTCCTACGCCACTCAAAGGATACTCGCCCGTGTTCGTGACACGGCCGCTCCAGACCACATAGCGAGTGTCTTTCCAATAAGATTCCTTCATTTGCTCTTTCACCAAAGTGGCGTTCGTCCCTTCGGGATTGGGGGGCGAGGGGATAATGGATGTCAGATTGAAAAACCTGCCATCTCCCGTCTGCCCATACAATGGTTCCACCTTTGCAAATGTATCACGGTTGGTATCTTGAATGAAGCCAAACGTCCACCTATCTCCATTACGAAGTGGTGCTCGATATTTAGGCAAATATTGGAAGGTATGGTTACTGTCAATGGTGTTCAAGCCCCACCACGCAGAGGTGTTGCTGAAATCCTCAATTTGAACAGCAAGTTGAGTTACATCTCCAGGACCGTCATTTCGAATGCTCACTTTGTATATTTGCGTGCTTCCTTTCGAAGGAGTCGTGAAGTTCACAAAAGCATTGTATACGACACTGAGCGTCGGACGGATGTACATGTTCTGATCAACATTTGCATCCTCACGAGGCGCGAACGTGACATTGGATACCGTAGGAAAGGGACTTAAGTCTTCCATTCGACCGTAATCCATGGGAGCGTGTGCATTCTGGCCACGAGCAACGGTCGCGACGGCAACGAATGTGGAAATCCAAACGACGAAATGCTTTACAAGCGGGAGGAGATAGACCATTTTTTTGATCTTGTATACCGCTATGGCTCAAACCTAGTAAAATTTAATGCATAGATCAGTATCATTCTTAGCGCTTTCATCGCTTTAAGCTACTTTCGAAAAGCACTCTTTGCCTTGCAGTCGAGCATTCTTCAAAGTTTACGCAAAAGCTGGCCTTACAATCGAATATTTGGCCAACAGAACACTTCACGGGTCCACCTTCTCATTCCAAGAAAATTCATGGAAATAATGAGTTTTTTTCTGGAATCGTGTGGGTCAGGGAAGGAAGTTTGCTTCGGTTTAGCGCAGGAACAGGGGAGGTTAGCGACACGTACTCGCCTTCCAAAGAAGCTGGACGACCGTGTCGAAGGACGCGACATTCTGGTGAAATATGGAATTTTAGACTCGTATTGTCCGCGGTTTGATCTCTCTTGTCCCCACAGACATAGCCATGGTCTCAGCGACCTTGCACGTTCACATCGGTCAGTGCGGAAACCAGATAGGAGAGCAGTTTTGGTCCCTGGCCGCAGACGATTTTGCCGCTGCCGCCGACAACGGCGATGCTTCTTCGTTTAGCCCCCAATACCCCCATCCATTGTTCCATGAGCAGGATGGTCGGGCTGCCGCAGTCTTCGTGGATAGCGAGGCTAAGGTTGTTGATCGCCTTCGCAAGAATTCTCGATTGGCCAGCGTCCTCCGTAAGGAAGCTTGCATTACGGACAGCTCCGGCCGTGCTAACAACTGGGCCATGGGGTTTACTTCGTCTTGTAAAGAACTAGCTCAGAGCCGCGGGCTATTTTATTCCACTGTAAACGTCCTTCGACGGGAATTAGAGCGGATAGACTCCCTTCAAAGCCTAGTTATCTACCACAGCTTGGCGGGTGGGACGGGTTCAGGCGTCGGTTCCGCGCTCTTCCAGTACCTGCGAGAGGCCTGCCCCTCCGTGAACATCACCACATGTTCGGTGGGACCGTTTTCAACGGGTGACTGCGCAACGCAGTGGTACAACTCAACGTTTACCTTGAACGCCCTCAGTGAGCATGCGGATACTGTCCTATACCGAGATAATGATCAGTTGCTCGGAGAGTACCTGCGGGTGGCTGGCGCGGCCGAAGGGACGGGCAGGAGGGGGATGTCCGGCGGACGAGGGCTTGCACTTGCCACGTCAAAGGCGTCGATGGGGCGTTTGAACGAGAGTCTGGCCGCTGACCTGGCCTGTCTCCTCTTCCCCACAGTGACCTCCCCCTCGATTCCAACCTGGTGGGGGGGGGGGGTACCGGGCCTGGGACGCACTGGCACTGCAGCACGACTGCACGCCCTTCAAGTACGCTAAATTCGTCGACAATCGCTCTTCCTGGTCCACGTCCACTGCGACTACCCTTCCAACGTCCTCTGTCTCCTTCAAAGCTGCTGCCGGGCACGGCCTTCACCACTTGCCAGATGGCAGGCTTGGGGGAGCAGGCGGAGGCCAATGGGCCGATGAATGCGTCTACCTAGGCAAGGATGTGATCGCAAGCTTTCCAACGGAGGATGGGAGGGGGAAAGCCAACGTGACGCTGGCCGCTCAGATGACCGTGCGAGGGGTGGATCTGCCGGGCGCGGGCCCACACGTCCCAGGGCAGGAGCAGGTCTCCTTGTCCGAACACCCCCGAGGCAAGGGGGGACCGCAAAAGAGCGGGCAATGTCGGGATTCCAACAGAAACCACCAGAAGCCCCAGACAAGCAACCCATATCTCCCCCCTACCCCTTGGCACCCCGGCCTGACAGCCTTCCTCCACCACGACCTCCCGCGGGCTCTCCGTCTCCCATCCTGGCGGCAGGGGTCGCCCATCGGAACCGTCTTCTCCTCCCACTCCCAGCCCTCTATCCTTCCTTGCACGTCCATGCCTGCTGCCCGGCCTTTCTCCTCCTCAAGTCCCGGTGTAGCAATCTGCGCCAACCGGACACACATGTCCAGCACGGTCGAAAAAGTCCTAGGGCGAGCAGAGGAGATGGCTGAACACCGGGCGTACTTGCATTGGTTCCATCGACACGGCATTGAGGACGACGATTTTACGGCAGCATTTGAAGGCCTGCGACGTGTCAAGGAGGAATATGATGAGTTGGGGTCGGGGTCGGACAGGGCGCTTAGAGACATGTCGGGAAGAAGGCGAATTCGGGATTACAGATAGGTGTGATGATTGCGTCTTCCAGAGGCCTTTTTTGAGACCCGCTCAAACAAAGTCATGGGATGTCAACAACGTTGTAAAGTCCTTGGCGGGGTTGTCTGTAAAAAGTGGCAGGACGGAGTGGTCGGTCCCCGAGGAGTATTTTCATCAGCTAGAACAGGGCAAGGAACTGGTATGGCTACGGACTTCTACAATTTTCAAATGTGAGGCAACAAATTTTCCAGTGTGACTGAGATAAATTTTTCGTGGAGGCGTCCGTCGTTTCGCTTTCTTTTTTTCTGTCATACCCATTTCACCCCAGAAATTTCTCCATCTCGAGACCTCTATTCTCCAATTTCATTCATGGACTTCCATTACCACACCATAAGGGTTTCCCTCCTCATTATGCTTACCTGGATTATCTTATTGTCAACACAAGAATGCTCTTACAAAGTTCCCTTCAGCCCCAAGGCACAGGAGCTTTGGTGGACACAACTATACGCGTATGCCCTGCCCTCTATCATGTTATGGTCTTCAAGCTGGTACGACGAAGATGAAAAAACACATTGTCCAAAAACTATCAAGTATTTTCCTGCACGTATATTCCTATTTTTCCATCCCAAACGCAGTGCGAGGGTTGACGTGTCGCACATCTGTGCCATGCACTTGATGCCGCTGCCTGCCATCTTGTGTTTCAAAATGTACATTGCACGAATCCATCCATCGATCTTTTTTCCAAAATGAATCACAAAAATGATTCAAATGCTACTGCACTGCCTTAGCACGGGTCAAAAATAAAAATCACGGAAAGGTCATAGACGCACTGGAAAGCGATGCTTCCCGTGTCCCCTCGCTGCCTCCTCGCCGCTGGAGCTGCTACTTGCCTTGCCTACGCCGACACTTATGTTCTTCTACCGACAGGCGAGCGCCCAAACGCACCCTCATGGGCCTTCCTTTGTTTCTTCATTTCCTGACAGGGGAGGCACGGTGGTAGCGGCATTGGAGTAGGCCACTAAATTCTTTAGTGTCGCGGACCTGAAAATGAGCACCTTCCCAACGGCGTCCTCGCCCCCCCGTTCACCGACACATGCAACCCCTCAACCCGCTTCCCCAACCCTCGTGGAGACCACGTCGCCGCCATTACCACCGCTGTCGGCTGCGTCCACACGTACAGGTCCAGCGTCGGCGGCGGGCGGAGTCTGGACGAAATCATCGTTTAGTCCGCACACACCCGGTTTGTGCTCCAAGGACCTGAACGACTTTGACTTCGACGGCATCGATAAAGATTTGGAACGCTTTCAACAAGACGAACTGGTCAAGCAAGCACTTTCGAGAGGGGTGGAATTGAAGGGATACTCGGCGCAGATTGAGCAGGAATTGAAAGAGGTGGAGATGGAGTCAGTGAAAGAGTACGTTCAACAATCCTCGAATGTAGCGGCGCTCCATGGTCAGATCCAATCGTGCGATATGATCCTGGCACGCATGCAGGAGATGCTGCTGGGCTTTCAAGCAGATCTAGGTGGAATCAGCGATGAAATCCGACACTTGCAGGAAGAGTCACGCTCTATGAGTATCAAACTCCAGAACCGGCGGGACGTGGAGGCCCAGCTCCAAAAGTTTCTGGACAAAATGGTCTTGCCCCCCGACATGGTCTCCACGCTGACTGGGAAGGAAGTCAGCGATGCCTACATGGAATACATTGTCAATTTGAACAGCAAACTCGCCTACATATCTCAGACCCGGCCTGCGCCGGATGGGAGCAGTCTGGACATGGCACCGAAGGAAACCGCAGCGGGGAAAGAAATGGCACCCAAGTTGGAGAAACTCCGACTCAAAGCTGTGGCCAAGGGCCGCGATTACTTCTTGCAGCGCATCGCGGAGCTACGGAATCCAAAGACCCACGTGCAGATGGTCCAGCAACATGGCTTGTTGAAATACAAGCACCTGTACAAATTTCTGGTGAACGCGGCGCCGGAAGTCGCGGAAGACGTGCGGACGACCTACGTGGAGACGATGGGCAAGACTGTCTTCAGCCTTTTCCGAGCCTACCACGCCCAGCTCCAGAAGCTGGTGGTGGAGGTGGCGAACAAGAACGACCTGATCGCGGTGGAGGAGTCGGCCGTGCGGGGCCTGTTTTCGAGTCGGGTCGACTTGGGGAAGCGGGGGGATGCCTTCTCCTTGGGCGGACGTGACCAGGTGTTGGGGACGGTGGAGGACGAGCCCATACTCGTGCACATTGCGCAGGCGCAAAAGGCCCAGTACCCCTACGAGGTATGCCTCCGCAGCGTCTTCAAACATTTGACGGAGGCGGTCACCTGTGAATTTTTGTTTTGCCACGATTTCTTCGATGCACATGCTCCCGAACCGGCAGGACAGAACGATTCTGGCCACCGGGGGACCGAGACGTTTAACGCCGTTTTTGCACGGACGCTGAGCTTGTGTCTAGAAAACTTGGAGAACTATTTGTTCAATTGCTACGATGCCATTTCGCTTCTCTTGATGATCCGACTCACCATTTTTTTCCGGAGAATCATGCAGCGGCGGCGGATACCCGTGCTGGACGCATTCTACGACCGGGTTACCATGTTGTTATGGCCCCGTTTCAAGGCGATATTCGACGCCAACCTAAAGAGCGTTCGGACGGCCAATGCGAAGAAGTTGGGGGGGGTGGATTTGCACCCGCATTACGTGTCGAGGCGATACGCCGAGTTCACAGCCACGTGTCTAGCTCTGCACGCGGCGGCATACCCCAGTGGTGGCTACAGGGGGGCACCCGCGGCGGTCTTGCCTCCCGTAATGCAGACGGGCGGGGAGGACATGCTCCTCCACGACGTGTCGACGCTGACACGAGAGATCTTGACTTTGCTGCAGCGGCTGGCCGAACGCCAACGGGGAATCAAGGAACGCTATGTCTTTCTGATCAACAATTACGACCAGATCTTGAACGTCTTCCACGAACGGAGGGTGGAGGGGGAAGAGCGGCGTCGCTTTGAAGAGGCTCTGGCGCACCAGCGGGAGCTTTTTGTCGAGGAGGAATTGAAAACCGCATCCTTTGGCCGATTGATTGCCTTTGTCAAGGACTCAGAGGCGACTGCCGCCAGCGCCCTTAGTGAGGGCCGAGAAGGGCCTCTGGAGGTGGATGCGGGAAAAGCCGAGCAGCTGGTGCGGGAATTTGCGGCGTCCTGGAAAGCGGGCATAGAAGGGATCTACAGAGACGTGATGGCATACTTTGCGAATTTCAAAAACGGAATGGAGATTTTGAAGCAGGTGTTGACGCAACTGCTCTTGTACTATACGCGCTTTCAAGAAATCTTGAAGAAAGCTTGGCCCCGGAATCCGCCCGCCTTCGCCCAAGACGTCGTTCAAACCAGTCAGATCCTTTCGGAGATTCGGAAGTACAACCGGACATTTTAAAAGGGCGGGAGAGCCGGCCAGGATGGAGGCCTCATGTTCACATGCATGCATATGTCAAAAGGGGCAGACTGTGCGTCGCAACACGACAGAGTACGATAAAACTCGGAGGAAGAGCGCACAAAATGCTACGAAATCAAAACCTCTACTATGTGAACGATGGCCATCGCTCCAATCTTCTGAATCTGTGCGTCTCACGCTCCTGCGTTTTGTTCATTCTTGTAGAGTTCTACCTGTACACTTGATACGCATGCCATTTACAAGTCCTTGGCCCCGTCCTCCCCCTTGTCCTCCCCCCCGACCTCCCTTAGCACCCCTGACTCCCTCCTTCTTTCCAATCGCTCCGTCAGTGCCTGCAGGGCGGAGACACGCCCGTTCGGGTCCAAGCTGTCCAAGACCGGCTCCAACAGCGCCAGGTCCAGGGCCGCGCGAGCCCGATCTGCGTGGAGACGCGTCACGTCATCCTCCTCCCCCCGCCCACGCACACGGTCTAGGACGCGGAGACACGCCTCCAACGCCGGCAGCCCCAGGACGGGAAGCAGCCGCGCAGGCCCCAAACCCCGCACAAGCCGGAGCAAGAGGTAGGCGGAGGCACGTCGGACCAACACCATCGCCTTCCGATGAGCTGCCTCCAGCCCGGCCTCGGCCTCCCTGGGCCCCGTCCTCCCCCCGTCGTCCCTTCCCCCGTCCTCCCCCCCCCCCTTCCCTTCCTTCCTCTTCCCTCTCCCTTGATAGCTTTCCGCGCCATTACCACCATTCGAGGCTCTTCCTCCCCCTTCTCTTCCCCTTCCCTCCAGGGTAAGAATGCTCAAGACCAGGTCAAGAACATCGGTAAGGTACAAGCGGGAGGACCAGCCCATCCACGCCATGAGGTCCGCCATACCCGACAAACAACTCGCCCGAAAATGCCCTTCCTCCTCCAAGGCCTCCGCCCTTGCCCTCCATTCCCCTCCCCCCGCCTCTCCCACCCCCGGTCCCTCCCCCCCTCCCTCCCCAGGACCGGACCCCCTGCTCGTCGATCCCGTCGGCCGACTCCCTCTCATCAGCACCGGCATGACCCGCGACGCGTAGACAGGCATGGCCTCCCCGCACCGCTGTAACGCCTGCATGAGCGCCTCCCCCACCTTCAGCTTGTACGCCCATATCTCCGTGCAGACCGTCCGCCCTCCCTCCAGCCCTCCCTCCCGCCCTCCCTCCCGCCCTCCTCCATGCTCCCCGTCCACTGCGTTCAACAGCCGATCGATCACCCGGACAGGATCCTTCTCACTCAAAACCGCCAGGCCCTGGACTGCCGCCAGGTACACGTAAGAGTCTTGGTCATGGAGAAGAAGCAGGAGCAGCTCCAGCGCCCGCCCCCAGCCTGCGTCCATCCCGTCCTCCCCCGGCCCCTCTGTCCGCCCTTGCCCCGACCCGACCGGAGCGACCTTCCGCCGGGGCGGGAGGGCGTGCAGCACTTTGGTCAAGGTGACCAGTCCTCGTGCCCGTAGCGGCACCAAGGGACTCTCCACGTCCGACTGGATCGCCGCCAAGACCTCCGGCAAGCCCTGCGTTCCCCCCTTGGAGGGTATCACGGCCTCTCGCCGACGCTGTGCCTCGCGCTCGCTTAGGCTCAGGGACCGGGTGCAGATCGAAGCTCGCACGGACAAGGCCATCTCCAGGAGAGGCGGAGGGAGGTGAGCCCTGCCCCTTTCCCTTCCTCCGCCACTGCCTTCCTGCTCCCCATCTCTCTCTCGTACATCCGGGT